TATTTTCTCGCCTTTTCTCCGTTACACGTTACGAAACGATCCGATTATCTAAGCAACAGATCGACACATCGAGCAAACTGAACCGACGGAGCGTACCGTGTGGCTACCTTTGGCTTAGGGGCGTTAAACGAATATTTCTGCGGGTGTACAGGGCTATTCAAAAAGAATCAGATAATTTTAAAGTTTCACCGGTAAATAAATTCTTTCCGAAGTAGGATTACTGAAGTCATTTGGATAATTGGAGGATAAATTTCTGTATGTGTGACGGTTCTTTTTGTAACACCCTGTAGACACTTTATGAAAAATGTAGTTGAAGAAGCGACAGGAACATAATACTGCGGTGTAGATGATAACTGGAGTTTCCATTATCGAGGTTATCACTTAGGACTCCAACATCGCGTTGACCGCCATCTTGATTTATGATTCTGTTCTCGGTGGATTGTTTTTTTGTAATACATTGTTAACAGAATACTATAATTTCTATTGAATTTACTATATGCTCAATATGATTATATTATAAAAATCATACTAAATGGAGAAATATTAAGCGTATCAATAAGTAATTCACTGTATTTTGTAATCGTGAGATTGAAACTATTTTCCCGAATTTTCACTGACAGGTTTTGGAAAATCATTACGAATACAAATCAAATAGCACAGATCCTTGACTTTTAACATAACGAATACCGATTTCGTTTAAAAACAGTGTATCTCAAAACTCAATGCATACTTCCCTTATCCTCATTTTAGTACATAAAAAAATTCAACTGATACATAACATTTATCAACCTGTACGATAATACAGATTTACAGAATGTCTGTGAAATTCTGAAGAATAATCCTACACACAAAGCTATTCAAATCTTTGCTCCGTGCTCATTGTCCCCAGCGAGTGAATAAAATAGCGGTCAACGCGTCGCCACGTCCTTCGACTCGTCGTTACACTTGCGAGAGCACGTAACTGTACTCGGTGTAACATCGTTCACCGCGTCGAAAGATCGCGAGAGAGGCTGACTCGGATAACGAGATTGGTCCTTTGTCGATCGACTTATAAATAATAGGTAAATTCGTATTTACGCGGTACGCTCTTGTTGCGCCATGAAGAAAGAAAAGCTGCGCGACCTCGTCTATGCGCTAAGTTCGTCGTTCTATATCATTTTATATCGAGGGGTGGGGGTTTATATACAGAATATACCTGGGGGTTGGCGGTGGGTTTTTGCTTTTTTGTCGGGGTACGAGGTCGAGGCCTGCTGACCTCTGTCGCCGTGGTCTACGATTGTTGATCGATTAACGTCTGCCGATTGGACAAACGGGAAAAGGTAAAAACAAAAAAGCACGGGGTGATACTCGTGAAACAAAGGAGGGAATGCGAATGGATCTTGGTGTGAATTCTCGACGTGTATATCGAGCCCTGGCGAGGAGAAAACAGAGAAAGAGACAAGAGTTTCACGCGGGGGTTGGGCGAAACAGGCGTGACGAGAGATCGAGAATGTTTTCGGTGAAACGAGCTCGAGAGATGTCTTCTAACACGTGTAACGGGGCGAGCGACGGTTGGCGAAAGGAAGAGGGAAGTGGGCTGGAAAATGGCTTGCCGAAAGCTTGAACGTGAATAACGAGTAGAAAACTGCGGATGAGACCGGGGACCTTCAAGGGAGGAATGTGGCGAAAGTGTAACACAGCGGGGACGAAAGCTGGCTACGGGGGTAGGGGTTTCCAGACGGGAATTTTCACTTTCGAAAAACCGAAAGTTCGGATCACTGTGCGGTTTGGGTTAGGTATAATAAATAGAGGTTTCGTACTATGTTGTAACTGAGAATTTCATTGTGATTCGTGTGGAAATCTATTATTCTGTGGTCTATTTGAACCCTTTTTTTGAAGTTTAGACGGCGTCGAAATGTTAGGAGATTGCAGTAGAAATATACTTTTGTTGCCAACTGATGAAGAATTATAAATAGAAAAGGAATTTTATACTTTTAGGTATAATGTAAATATTCATTCTGCGAGACAGTCAGACGATGATGGATGAAGTTTTTGAATCTGCAGACGATAATTAGAATACTACAGATTTTACGAATTTATACTAAAACGTGATGAAATATAATGCTTGACAAAGGGTAATTTTATTTTTGTACTACTACCTATAATGAACAATTTTTTCTTACGACTACTTTCCTTGCTGGGATATGAAACGTGATTAAAATGAAAACCTATTTCCTGACCATACTAAGTTGCTTCACTAAACATCAAAATCACCAGGAAACTTTAGTGACCCTTCAAATTCATTTCCCTAACTGCAACACAAGAAATATTCTCCATCCGAAGGTGTCTTCTATCGTCAGAAAAGGTTCAAAGAAACACGTCGAGAACAGAACCACAGACTCCAAGGAGCAGACCAGCAGTGTTCATTCGGACAAGAGATCGCGCTCGCCATTTTCTTCCCGTTCCGAAACGGTCGCACGGCACCGAATAGAGGCGAAACGAGGGCAATTTGGGGGCCGCGGGCGTTCGGAATATTCGCAGAAAATGCAAACGAAGTGGTTTCTGTATCTCTCTCCTGCCTTTCCTCCATCAGGGCCGTGAAGAAACCTGGGGTGGGGTGCGCGTCAGGTTACGTTTTCGAAAGCATCGCACAGTCAACGAGGGTGCGTAACAGCTAGTACGGGGGCCAGAGACCCGGAAGAGGGAGGTAGGATGAATGACGGCGACGTCAAGTTCGTGCCCCTCCACTCTTCTCGCTAGGAACTGTCCCATGGACTGACCCCCGTGGAACAATCGGGGCTACGGCCTGTGGCCTCGAGTTCGCCGATGAGATTTGCATGGCCTGGGGACCAGACATAAATCAGAGGACCATTCAGCGAGAGGGCAACGACGAGCGAGTGGCGGAGAGCCTGGAAGTGAAAAGAAAGAGGCCACCCGGCTGCGAAATTTTCGGCACGCGGGTATATCATTGGCGAAAACTGGTTCGCGTGAAACAGACGCCCGCCGAGGCCCCTGGTCTAGGACAAAAGGATCCTAGGGGATACGGACCGAGAGAAACCGGCTGGCTCGACGAGAGAAAAAAAGACGGAAATCGGAGAGCTCGAGAAGAAGACGCCACCGCGATTATGCATGAGAATGAACCGAGAAGAGGATGATTCTTCTTCGTCGAATCCGCAGGCTCTTATTCTTTTGGTTATTGTTGCGGATCGACGCGAATCGACGATTGCATATTCACGGTCCACGCGTGAATATATCGGCTTACCGTGGCTGTTTCTTTTTTTTTTTTTTTTTTTTTTGCGAAGGGCGAATGCAAAGTAGCTAACCAAGGGTCTTGGGAAGATCTGCTGGTTGGACAGTTTGAAAACTGTTGGTTCTGTTTATTCTTTTAGGTGTGCATGTAGGAGTTTACTGTTTGAGAGGTCTGAAATGGTGACTGTTTCTTCTTCTGATTACGGGGCAATGTTAAATGTTCTTTAGAGGAAAACTGAAAGATAACTAATGAAGATTTCTAGGGACCATGTACCAATATTCGAATGGTAACTACATACCATAGGAAATAAATAAAATAAGATACGCACCGGCTTACGATTAGAAGGAACCCACGGAATATAGGAATCGGGAGGTCGGGGAGTGTAGGATGTCATCTCGAGCTCGCTCAGCGAAACGCGAGTGAGAATATCTCGTGTGTCGGGTTGTTGGGATTGTCGAGTAAACGATGCGTGTGTGTCTTGTTCGAGTAAATCTGTACATGTATTTAACAAAAGAAAAAAAAGAGAGAAAGAAAAAGAAAACGAATCGTTCGTTGGTTTTACACATGTCGCGTAGAATAGACAACAACGCGGCAACGCAACCGCCGATTAGGGTGCTATATAAAATAAATTATAAACGAGGTAGAATAAGGTAAGAACAAAAAAAAAAAAAATACGGTGGATATCTCTCGCGCGGGCGGAAGGTGAAATAAAAAGAAAAGTACCACCGCAAAGAGAAACGGAACGAAAATTGCGATAAAACGTAAAATATCGCGAGAATCGTGCGCTAGAGCGACAGAGGGACCGACACGAACCTACGTCACTCCACCCCGCTACTTTTACTGTCAGAGGAACTTGTATACCAGTACATTCATTCCGTTATAGCTTCTCACCTTTTTATAATCTCGATTCCCGCTCTCCGTTCACCATTCACACACACGACGCGGCAACGCACACACGCGTCGTGATACACATCCACACGCACGCACGCATGCGCACATACACACGTTGAAACGCAAAACGGGCAATTCTCGCATCATCGTATCTCTCTTTCGATATAACTATCTAATTAATAACTATCTACCTGTTCATCGTCACGGCTCTCTCGGAACGGAAAAACCACGCGGAAACTACGACTAACTAAATACACATTCTTTTTCATTCTCGTTTCTTGTTCGTCGCGGAAAAACTATGTACACAACGAGAGAGACACCGTCGTCGTCACCCGAAAAGAAAACTCGTGACCGGGTCTCTCCACTTACATATCTCTCTCTCGAAACGTTCTCCCTATATTCGTATATATATTTATATATATATTTTTTTTTCACAAAAAAAAAAAGAATTACGCGTCCCTGAATTGTTTTTGTATGGTTCTCTCCGTTTAAATTACACGTTTTACAGGATGTTCAATAG